AAAGCAATTTCTTTTTATATATTTTAAAGTAAAAAATTTAAAAATAGAGAAAGAAAAAATACTTAAAGAAATAAAATTTTTCCACATTTCTTTTCATAAAAAAATAAGCAATATTTTTTTTTTAAACAAAAAATAATAGAGATTAAATCTTGATATTTTGTTAAATCTACAGATTTAGATAAGACGGGATTAAGAAAATATTAAACAAAACTAGAATTTAAAGATAGAAAAATAAATATCTGATTGAATGGATTTACAGATTAAAGATAAAAACGATACAAAGACTTTAAAAAAAAATTACATAAATGGGAATATAAAAAGAGGAGAGAAAATGTAAAATGAGGATATTCGAACGAGTTTAGAAAATTGGATTTTTAGTCAATTTAAGAAAGACAAAAGAATTTTTTTTTCTTTTATATATATATTTAAAGTGAGAATGAATGGAAGAAAGAAATACCAACAGTCGACATAGAATTTAATGAAAGGATCGAATGAATGTTAGAAAAAAAAATAGTAAAAAAAAAATGGAGGGAAAAAAAATTAAAGGATTCGGGAAGTGAAATCAATTTAAAAACAAAAATAAATTTGTGGAAACTGTTTTTTGAGGTAATTTTCCACTTTTCAAAAATTTGTTGCTCATTTGTTGGAATTAGTCTGAGATGATGAGAGAAATTTCAAAAAAAAAAGTAAAGTGATTTGTACAATTGAATAAGTTATAAAAAAAATATATATGTGTATAGAAGTAAAGCTCTTAAAATTCGTTTATTTTCGACTTCATTAATGCTTTCAAAAAGTATTTATTTAATTGCAAAATATAAAGCTATTTTGAGATAATTCGTCAAAGTTTTTTAAGTGAACTGAAAAATTGTCAAACTTTCGTATAGAAATTCAGAACTTCTATCCTTTTATACGAGATTTTCTTCCTTAATTAATTACTCCACCCCTCTTTTTTTTGTGGTAAAAACAGTAAAATATTATATAAATATCAATGGTAAAGTTAAGAGGACAAAAATATTAATTAAAAGCTACGAATGATTAAAAATTCTGTCATTTCGTCTCTCGTATCCAACGATAAACAAATAAATGGGGATAAATTATCAGCTTCTAAGTTAATGTTTCTTAAATTTTAGTTAAGAAAATAAAATAAATTGTGAATTAAATTAAATTTCATTAATGTATAAAATATTTTTAAGGAAGAAAAAGAAGGTTTTTGATGGAAGGAATTTTTAAACAGACCAGACAATACATCCTTTTTTTCTTGTGTTTTCTGTATTAAAAAAATCACTTTTAAACGTTTAAATTATATTTAAAAATATATATATATATATATATATCTAAATTTATACTCTAAAAATTCTTTTAGGATTTACCAGAATTTATAATTCTGGGTGGAGTTTAAAATATGAAGTTATGTAAGATATAAAGTAAGGAATTTAAAATATTTTTTTAAGATTTATAAACTAGTGTCACGTGTATGGGGACGAGTTACGTAGTGTATAACTTACATTAAGCTATATTTTTCTCTATCAATGTTGATAATCGTGGTTTAAAACTGTAAACGTCACTCTCTCAATTCATTTAATACGATAACGTCATCAACTATAGAAATATGCTATATATTAGAGTATTTTCGGATTAAACGTCTCGTCCTTAAATCTTAAACAACGTTTATGTTTAAGGATAATTAAAAGAAAACCTAGAATTAAAAAAAAAACAAAAAACAATTGTAAAATGTAAAAGAATTTCTACCGCTTTCATCAATTTTTTTTCCCCCTTCAAAGATTTCAAGAACTTCAAACGTTTATTTTATAGTCTATTAGCAAAGGATTTTTTTTTTTTTTTGGGAGTAGAATTTTCCTTTAATTCTTTTCCTAGTCAAGGAACATCCTCAGTAACAAACAGAATAGGGAATTTATAGACAGGATGGGTTTACTAGGACATGGTGATATTTACGATCCAGTCCAATTTTGGCGTCGGTGTCAGTCATTTATCCGACTCTCAGTTTTATAGAATGGCCCGGGGGTGACTAGGAGATAGAAAAATAAAAACTACTCCTTACGAATTACGTGGTTAGATTACAGCTAACATAATTACATAACATATTTCATGAAGTTTTCTGATCTAAACCATATTTCTACTTTCGTTAGTATCGCATTACATTGATTCATACGTCTAAATTTCTCATCTATAATGCCTTTTTTGTATAAATCTTTAGACTCTAGTAGAATTTCTATAGTCCAATTTTTTTAAATATTTTATACATTTAAGGTTAAAGAATTTNAGGAAATTCTCCTATTTTACCGATCTAGGGATCCTCTTTTCCAAATTTTAATATCGACTCAAAATAATTTAAAAAGATAAATTACAATAAAACGGTTTATTATCCGACTATCAGAAATTTCACAACGCGCCGAGGAAGAGAGGAAGAAGCAATTAAATAATTAAAATTGTAAAGGTTTAAAAATATATATATATATATATATATATCTAAATTTATACTCTAAAAATTCTTTTAGGATTTACCAGAATTTATAATTCTGGGTGGAGTTTAAAATATGAAGTTATGTAAGATATAAAGTAAGGAATTTAAAATATTTTTTTAAGATTTATAAACTAGTGTCACGTGTATGGGGACGAGTTACGTAGTGTATAACTTACATTAAGCTATATTTTTCTCTATCAATGTTGATAATCGTGGTTTAAAACTGTAAACGTCACTCTCTCAATTCATTTAATACGATAACGTCATCAACTATAGAAATATGCTATATATTAGAGTATTTTCGGATTAAACGTCTCGTCCTTAAATCTTAAACAACGTTTATGTTTAAGGATAATTAAAAGAAAACCTAGAATTAAAAAAAAAACAAAAAACAATTGTAAAATGTAAAAGAATTTCTACCGCTTTCATCAATTTTTTTTTCCCCTTCAAAGATTTCAAGAACTTCAAACGTTTATTTTATAGTCTATTAGCAAAGGATTTTTTTTTTTTTTTGGGAGTAGAATTTTCCTTTAATTCTTTTCCTAGTCAAGGAACATCCTCAGTAACAAACAGAATAGGGAATTTATAGACAGGATGGGTTTACTAGGACATGGTGATATTTACGATCCAGTCCAATTTTGGCGTCGGTGTCAGTCATTTATCCGACTCTCAGTTTTATAGAATGTCCCGGGGGTGACTAGGAGATAGAAAAATAAAAACTACTCCTTACGAATTACGTGGTTAGATTACAGCTAACATAATTACATAACATATTTCATGAAGTTTTCTGATCTAAACCATATTTCTACTTTCGTTAGTATCGCATTACATTGATTCATACGTCTAAATTTCTCATCTATAATGCCTTTTTTGTATAAATCTTTAGACTCTAGTAGAATTTCTATAGTCCAATTTTTTTAAATATTTTATATATTTAAGGTTAAAGAATTTAATTAAGGACCTATCCTGTACTTCACTCCTTCAAATAAAAAAGTTTGGGTGAAATGATTTTATTAAACTTTATTCTAAAATTTAAGTAGGAAAATATATTTTTAATAGATAAAATTTAAGGGAATAACTTAATTATTCGATAAGTTATATGAATTTTACAATAAACTCGATTAAAGTTTATTTAATTAATTATTAATCGACATTATTAAAGGTGTAAAGATAAGATTTACTTTAGATTTTGATATACAGTATCAAAAAAAAAAATTAATATTAAGTTAATTATCTTTTGACACGCACACACGTTGTCACACTTAATAATTAGAAGTATATAGGGCCTATATATATATATATATATATATTTTTTTTTTTTCGATTAAAAATGGCGCAATTAAATATATTTCACTGATAATTTATTAAATTGAAATTGTAGCTTTGCAGCAAGAAGCAATGAAGCAACTTAAGGCCTTACATTTTTACACGTATCGTTATTTGGTAGAGAGAAAAGGGCCTGTTATATATTACAGCTTAAGACCACAACAAGTCTAACTTCCAATTTCTTCGTTGGATATTATTAAGAAAAATCTAAAGTATTTTATTAAAATTTAAACACCTGATTATTAATTCTTTATAAAAAAAAATTGAAATTGAAGGAAGTTTGATTTCATTTTGTTTGTTAAACATTCGATAGAAATTTAACACGATAATTACATCTTCGTCACATAAATCATAGAACATCAGGCATAAAAATCAGGGAAAGAAAAAATAAGGGGAGGGGAACAGTTGAACTGTAATTGAGACTAATACCCGATGAGCAATCTAGCTTTATGAGTCAATTTAATAGATTACAATACCAGTAGTTGTCAGTTTAAATGACGATAAGCATCTCATAATCATTATCAGTACTAGTCTATTATTATCGTAATGATCCTTTAGCTAATGAACTTCGCTAAAACTCGGTTAATACATGTTATTTCCATATTCAAATTTACTTATTGGAAGTTTTTATACGCGTATTCCCATTTGGGTGTATAACGCCGCTGCTATCATTTTATCAGCAGTTTTAATTCGTAAAGACACTTTTAACACATACAAATGATTTAATAACTCTTGCTTCTATATTTTGCAATAATAATAATAATATTCTCGCGATATTTCAGGAGATTTTATCATTACTATTTCCAGAAATTATCTCGATTACACCAAGGACGTGTAAAAAAAAAAAGAAGACATACTTTTCAAGATTTCGGGATATAACAAGATAAATTTAATGCAGCAGGATAATTTAGGGATGTAGAAATATTACGAGCTCTTAATCGATACAAAGCATTACGATTTAAACGAAAGCAACTCCATTAAAAATTCGTCAATTCAAATTGGCAAATCACAGCGCTTCTCTTATTAGCTCCTATAATAAAAGAAATTATATGCTATAGGATAAATCAGAATCGTATATTTTATTTAATTAATAATATATTTATTACGAGTAGCAATAATAATGTTTAACCGGAAGTAAAGGTTGAATTGGCGATTGCGTCATCGATTATGAAAGCACCGCGCAATCTCGCGTGTCGTCATCACTACCGTGACGTCAATGCACGAGCAATTCCGCAGAATTTTTTACTCAAATCTGGGGCGTGTGTGTTTTCGTCGATAGAATTCGAACTATAAAGTATTAATCGGGTTCGAATTATAGTAAATCGCGATCGTAGTTGATTCTAGATCATTTCTATAAAAATTATGGCTGGATTTGTTACTTGTGGTCCTAACGAAGCTCTTGTTGTTTCAGGTAAACATGGCTGGGCCTTAATGTTTTTGTTCTTATTTAATTAATTTATACATATGAAAAGTATTATAAGCAAAAAATATATTAGAAGTTAATCTATTAGCATAGTATAAAACTAAAGAGAAATTTTTTAAATCAGTTTGTTTATTATTTATTGCATTATTTATGAAATCCAATCAATCATATTAAGTAATTTACAGACTTATTTGTTGAAGTGTATTATTAAAGTGATTTAAAACAACAAATATTTATTTAAATTAAAAGAAAGAAGTTAAAAGATTGGAATTTTATCAATCAACTATTACTTTGATGTATCACCAGTTTATTAATCTTATAGATCAATTCAGTAATACAGTGATGAATTTTTTTACATAAATCTATCCATTATCAAATGATATTCAGCTTTAAATTTTACTTTTATAGTTTTTCCATTTTCTTTATGCGAAGAAATATATTTCGTGTCACCGTGCAATGTTTATATGTATAAAATATTATTACGTACATAAAAAAACATATACATACATACTTATTATGCACTTGAGAGATTATTTAGTATGTTTTAATTAAATTTTTTATCAAATATAATCGTACGTCGATCAAAAATTAATAACGGTTATCAAATTTATAAAATTGACAACACGAAACTGGGTATACTTAATAAACGAGGCAAACTAAATGCTACTTTTGGCACAAAAATTATGAGAACGCGAATATTTTGACCGTGTTAAACGTTCGCTTTCTCGTAACTTTTGTTCTGGAAATTGGTTTAATTCTCCTTGTTTACAAATTTATAAATCTTATTTTTCTATAAATACAATCAAAAATATCTTAACATACAATATCTGTTTATACTTTTAGTCCATAACGAATATTAAAGATAATTATTGTTAAACGTACAAAAATATGTAAAATGACAATTAGAAATCTTATATATACTAATGCTACATTTTTTGACAAATTAAAGATTTTTTTAGAATAAATATTAATTATTTTATTGCAGTCAAATATTAGTTACGAATGGCTTGGTTTCTATGTAGCGATGAAACAAACAGTTATTATGTAAGATATTTTATCTGGTAGATGTCGTACGTGAAAAATTTGAATAAAGATTTTTCTAGAATAAATATTAATTATTTTATTGCAGTCAAATATTAGTTACGAATGGCTTGGTTTCTATGTAGCGATAAAACAAACAGTTGTTATGTAAGATATTTTATCTGGTTGATGTCGTATATGAAAAATTTATAAAGTAATAATAATCGAGTTAACTATAAAATAAGTATAAATTAAAGCCAATTAGAAAAATACATAAATTTAATTTGCTTGTAATTTAGTGTTAATTTTTATAGTGTAAAAAATAACTCGGCTATGTTATGATTACAGGAATGATTAATATTGCAAGTTAATACATTTATTTACTAATGACAGCAATAATTATCTCTCTTTTATATTAATTACAATAGCCTAAAGACATAACTGTAGATCTGTTTTTATATGATGAATATAGTTGCTTTTTATTTTTTAAATGATAGAATTTTTGGAATTTTTTAAAATATTTCAAATCTTTTTAGATCCCTAACAAAGAAACCTTCATTAATTTTATTATGCATCTTAAGTATCAAATAACTTTATTATGTATTATTTAAAGAAGAAAACATTCTTGATAATTTAATAAAATATCATTAATTATAAAGACATACCGTATAGGAATTTTATTATATTAAATTGTAAATTGTTATAATATTTCTTAATATATATGTGCTAGATTTAATGCTGGTAATTTAAAAATTCACCCATTTGTGCTCTTAGTCCTTGCGGCATAAATATTTTTAAAAGTTTCTGTTATTATCAATTTACTCTGTTAATAGAAACCTAATAAACTTAGCTTATATAATATATTTATATTATATAAGCTATGATTCAATAGATTCAAAATTTTCAATGTTAAAAAGAACCGAAGTGACCACTTGCCAAAAATCAAAGAAATAATATTAAGAATAATGCTATAGTAATATTGATTAATAATAATTTGTTGAACTTGTTTGTAGTCGTGGTTTTTTTAGATTGAATTTAATAATGTATTAGTCAATGAAATAATTATTAGTTCAATAAAAAAGTAAAGAAGAATTTCAAGCAGCTGACTTGCTTCACAGAAAAAAAAAGAGGAGGAAAAACTTTTGATTGATTAACTGACTAAATTGACATTGTGATAGAAGTAAATTGTTATTGGTGTATGTTACCCAAGACTATTTTGTCTGTCAAATATACTGCTTATAGAGTGATAGTTAAACTGTTAAATTAGCAGTTCTTTAACCTGGCATGAAGCCAATATAAAAATGATAGATTAGTATCAAAAAGTCATAGTAGAAATACAAACTATGTATGTAAGAGTTTGTTTATAATGTAATTTTTTTCATGCCAATGTATTATTTTTCTAATATGAATATGTAATTAAATTTTTTAAAAACATAATGGAAAATGATTCAATTACATAATGTATCTATAAGACATATATGCATTCTTGATATATATCATTTTTGAGTGTCAGTGCCAAGCCAATGTTTCAGAATTTGTTTTGGCTTATTATCGTTCTTTTAATTTGTTTTTTTTTTTTTTTTGGTCAATTGTTTTATTCAGTGGTAATGAGAGAGATTATCATTGAGAAAAATGATATTTATTTGGAAATTTTTATATTTAAAAGGTTATATTTTTGTCTATTATTCTTAGTATTCAAAAATTTTAAGTTGATTTTAATCCAAAAAGTTTACTTTGNTTTTTTGGTCAATTGTTTTATTCAGTGGTAATGAGAGAGATTATCATTGAGAAAAATGATATTTATTTGGAAATTTTTATATTTAAAAGGTTATATTTTTGTCTATTATTCTTAGTATTCAAAAATTTTAAGTTGATTTTAATCCAAAAAGTTTACTTTGAACATTATATATATTGAAGAAAATCAAAAATTGACCTTTTAAATCAAATTTAGTTAAAATGTTATTGTAACAATAAAGTATGGAAAAACTTTTTAACTTAATTTATTGTTTGAAACACACTTTGATATTTATTAATTTCTTTTAATGTTTATTTTCTACATAAATTTATTATTTACAAGACAGTCTACAGATATTTTGAAAATATAAGAGTTCATTTCCATCCAATAATATATATATTTATACATTTTTGTGTTCTTACCTGTTATACGAGAAAAAATTTATTTAGGTTTTCATTATTTCATGTTAGTATTTTTTATTATTGAGCCATAGATCGTATGGAAGATTTCGAGAATCTTTTACGTCTTGACTTCTGAAAATACAAATTTATTGTATAAATAGGATGTATGATACTTTATTACATGTTTTTATGTATTATTTTTACTCTATTCTTTATTTTTAATCATAAGTGCTTTATAATGTATTGTATTTATATATATCCTTTTTACTTTGTGCACTTAAATTTTGTACATGTATTTTTATGTTTATTGCATATCTATTTTTTTATCGGCCTTTGTGAGAACTACATTGTGTTTTTGGAGCTATTTAACTGCGCAAGATTATTGCAGATGGAAAACAAGGTTATATGTCGAAAAAGAGAAACGTACTAACAAAACCACCTTACTTTTCCAAAGGCACATTAAAGGAATATCTACTTTTTTTCATATTCACACTTTATCATCATATTTTTATTTTTCTGTATGTTTTTCTTTATTATATATGTAATTTCCTATGTATTTATAATCAGCTTTGTATTAACTTTTTAAGTTGCTTTTGTTAGTGGAATAACTACTGTCTTGTTTTTTTTAATGGAGAAAGAAGCTATTGTTACAGTATTAATACTGTAAGAATAAAGAATATTTACCAAAGCTGTAAATTTGAACAACTCAAATTTTCTGAGTAACCTAATACAATAAAAACGGTGCTGTTCTTGATCATACTATTGGTTGATGTGGAAGAAACAAATACTTTTTCTTTATGATAATATTCTAAATAAATACTAAATAAATGGATTCTATAGAAGCATATCACTTCCAAAATATTTCCAGTTTTTGTAGTTTTATATTATACTTATTTCATTACACATATAGAATTATATATTTGGGTTTCTTCACAATATTATTGATTCAGAAATGCATTGTATCAATAGTATCAAAATTAAAAGTTAATTTAATTAAAATGTTTTTTTAAACTGGAAAAAAAATAACAATACAAGTTTAAGAAAAATTAGAAATTGGTTTTTTAGTAAAAGAAGAAATTCAATAATCTATAATTATTTTTAGCAGTTTATTTATTTTTGTTGTTATTTTTTATTTATATAATTTAATTACTCATTGAGTACAAAATAATGTTAAAATAATGTCTTCAATGTTAAAAATCACAATTGACTCAACACATTTTAATGCAAACATTTTCAATTGGTCAATTTTTAGTTTAACTGATAAGGAGAATAGTGTCTATTATTACTGACTGTCCATTAAATTCAAATGACAGAGTGATAGTAATAAAATAAATGAAGCAAGTAGATAAACACAAGCAGTACAAACTTCACATTGTTTGTAAAATATATATATATATATATATAAGAGATTGTAAATTAAAAAAACAAAAAAATGAAATGAGTAATGTTTGTTTTTTTAAATAGATTTTTAATCAAAATGCTCAAAAAATGAGTCTAATCTTGTTTCATTCTATTGTTACTTCCTGAAGTAATGAACTTAATACTATCCAAATCCATGACAATGTTCAGGAAATGTTAGTAACAAGTTATTATTTGACAGTTGAGTGCATACACATATATAAAGACACCCATTATCTGGAATTATTGCTTATTGATCTGTTGTGTTTTAATATTCAACAACTTCTATTATAACATTGTTGAATAATTGCATGAGTATTACTCATACTTAGTAATTTATTGGAACTAATGTAACACTAATATAAATATTATAATATGTATTATTCCTGTGATAATATGAATGTATTTATGTATTCACCTAAAAAAGCATGTTTATAGTAAAACTGACCATAATTTCACAATAAATAACATAAAGACAACTCAATAATGCATAATCTTTTAATATTATGTATTAAGAATCAGAAATCTGTAAATTAAAGGTTGATTATATTTTAATTAAGTAAATAAAAATATAATTGGTCATTAATAGTGATATTACTGTTACTTCTTTTTTTTAGGATGTTGCCACAGCAGTCCTCTTATGATTCCTGGTGGAAGAGTGTTTGTTTGGCCTGGCGTACAACGTGTTCAGAAGTAAATTATACATTGAATTCTTTAATTTTAGTTAAGATTTAAATGTTACTTTATTTCTTAAAGCTATTATAAAACTGCCACTTTTATATTTTGAGGTATTTTCTCCCATCCATGTTGTACGAGTCACTTAGATTTTACAAATACGTGAGCCGTTCACAGCCCGGCACACGTATTTGTAAAATCTAAGTGACTCGTACAACATGTAATTCAGATAAAACGGAAAAATCAATGATCTTATAGGGGGGTCGACTGTATNCAACTCCGCTTTTCACCTGGCTATATGTATATGGCGCCAGGATTTGTTGTACTCCAACAAGTTGTAAATAAAATAAAAATGGAATGTATATTCAAAGAGTTGTAGAGCTTACAATTTTTAAATAACTGTTATTTGAAAAGTCTATTAAAGAACTTCAGTTTACAATTCTTAAAATGTGTTGATGGTTTCTTGATTCCAGAATCAATATTGAATTCCTCTTAGACTGACTTTTAAATTGTATAAAATATTCAGAATGTGTTGTTTAATTTAAATTTTAAATTTTGCAAATGTTAAAGAAAGGGAGAAAATTCAAAAAAAAATTTTTTTTTTTTGAAAGATATAAAAGCAAAAGGCTATTTCTAGGAGTAAATATTAATAATTTTCATATAAACTCTCCAATAAAAATTGTCAGTCATTTCCATTTTTATAAAACAAATTTTATCCAAAACGTCTTTACATAATTTGCTTTTATGTCAAAGGCAATTTTACTTCAAAAATCATTTTATATCTTTATTATAATCTTCAATGTTTTATCATTTTATTTTAGACAGTTTTGTTGCTAAATGAGTTCAGTATTAAAAAAAAAAAAAAAAAAGAAATTTATAAACAAATGCTTAAATAATAGCTCAAAGCAACAAATTAATCAATATTAGAAATAGCTCATTATTATTTTAATATTCACATATGAGATAAATTTAATTAATTAATATATATGTTCATTGGATAAAAAGATATGTGAGGAATTTTGTTTCCCCCAGGACATTATAATCTTGATAATAGTGCATCTGGTAGATGAATCAAATGAACATGTCTTTAAGAATATATTTATTTAATTTTAATTATCATGAATAAATTAATTATTATAAAGGAGAGTTTTATTAAAATTTTCAAACTGTTTTCATTGTCTATTTTTCAATGTAGTTACTTTCCATCTTTTATTGTTAGGTGAATTTATTGACTTTATACCTTAATCTATGGATAGATTAATCTATAAAATCGTTAACTTACCAGAAGTTTGACTATAGAATTTGAATTATTATTGGAACACAACTCAGTTTAAGATAACTTAAGTTATTAAATCTGCATAAAATTCTAGTTGTAACTTTAAATATTTTAAATTGAATTTAGCTAATAAAGTTTGTTCCAAGAGAAAAAAAATTTTACATTAACTTCTTTTGAGCAAATACGGAAAGAAAAGAATCCATTCCTTGAATTTTGAGGCAAGAATTCTGATTTCATTTTTAAAATCCACAAGATTTTCAAATTGTTTCCCACACAAAAAATATGCCATGGATTGAGAAAGGTGGTAATCTAATGGTGCTAAGTCTGGACTTAATGCTAGATTTGGCATCAACTCCATTCTGTCCAGCTCCCAAATTTTTTCTTTTGCTGAACATACACGTGGAGGAGCATTATTCTATTGAAGAAGTGTGTGTTTTCTGTTGACTAAAGTTAGGTATTTTTGGATTAAAGCTTCATACTTTTACTCCAATTGGACACTATAAAATTCTGTTAAATTAATAATTAGTGGCACAGCTATCAGGAAACAACTTTCAGTGGATTGGATCCTTGAAATTCTATCGCACATGAAGCAATAAAGAAATGCTTTGAACACAAAGCTTTGAAAGCTTTGTGTGTCAAAGCATTTCCTTTTTGCATCTGGTCTTAGCAGTTGTCCAAGAAATAACCATTGATTTTGCAAGTCAAGATTATGAAAATATATCCACTTTTGTCTGATGAATGATCATTAAGGTTTCTAAGCAATTGATAATATACTTTGATGAAGTGCTGAGCTTGTGCAGATGTCAAATTGTCAGGAATAACATGGTCACTCCTTTTAACCTTTCCAAGCATATGAAAATGACATTAGATTGTGATATTCTCAGTACACTAGTCCTAGTGCTTATGTTTGGATTTGAAACAACAGCTTGGTTTTTAAAGCTTCAGAATTCACCGTTATGGGTCTTCAAAGGCTTGGCATTTAAGCTTTGAAATATTTATACCAATATTGCTCAGTTCTTTTGAAGACAACATCTAAACCTTCCACTGTACAAATTTTCTTTGCTGTAGCTGTAGCATTAAGGTCTTTGTTGAAGAAAAATTACAAAAGTATTTGAATGTGAATTTTTTTTGTCCATTTTTAAGTCAAATGATAGCTTTGCAAAATAACTCTGGGTGACAGCTGAGATAAAAATGTAATGAGCAATAGAATATATTTAAATTATGATACAGAAATGCATGTGCAAATTATAATTGATTGATAAGTGTTGCTATTACAAAACCACAACAACTTATGACTCACTCTGTACTGTATGTAACAATATTAATAAGTACATTCAAACACTTTTTAATGTTCATTAAAACTATATTTCTTTACTTTAAAATGAGTACAAATCCAAAAACATTTCAAATGACAGCAAGTATCAAAAGAAAGAAAAAAAAAAATTGTCTACTAAAACATTGAAATTTCAAAACACTAAAAACAAAAATCTTAAAAAGTTTGTTATCATAGCACAATCACAGTCATGTTATATTATATATATATTTATTTATTTTCCTCATTCAGAATTAACTTTTATATTATAAATTAAAAGTAAAATCCTTTGTTGTAAAATAAACATTTTAATTTAAAGGAAACAAAAAATTTAATCTATAATTTAATTGTGATATTAAAATACCAAAAAATTTAAAGTTGCACATCTCTAACTGCCTATTTAACAAAATAACCTTTAACTTTCAGCACAAATGTTTTTTGGCATATTTCAGTCTTATAAACCTGATGCAGCTTTATGAAATATGCCAAAAAATGTCTGTGTTATTAATGAATGTGTTTGTTGGAACTGCAAGGATGGTTGGTGCTGAGGGTTAAAGGTTAATTGATAACAGATCCACTGAGAAGTGACAAAAGAGGCACTCATCTTAGGTGTCATACATTAGAGGTCAGGGACAAGTAGTAATAAGGTACTAAATGGAAAAAAAAGTGCCTTATTAGTATAATTTATCTTCTTCAGATCTTTGGAAAATTAAATTTATATAAGAAATTTTTGAAATCAGAGTAGGGACAGGAAGAAAACATTTGACTAGGCTATTTTAAAAACTAAGTTTGACTTTGTAAAATTACTAAATAATGGAATAATAATAAAATTATTTATGATAGTTAATGACAATAGCATTATATGGATACAAAGAAGCCTAAATTATTAATCAGTTCCAGGCCAACTATTTCTCTCAGTGGCTCTTGTTGATAACAATAAATTATAAATTTTTTAATATAAGTTATTCTATAAATCAAAAATATTAAAAATATTATTTCTGATGTCTTTTAGAATTACATTGAATACAATGACTCTCACCATAGAAAGTCCAAAAGTTTATACACAACAAGGTGTTCCAATTTCAGTAACTGGTATTGCACAGGTATGTTGATATTTTTATTTTTTTCTGTATTTATAAGAGTTTATTTGCTAACAAATACATAAGATTTAGTTTCCTTTCATTTTCTGTTTTTTGAACCTATTTGTTGGGTTTTTCATTTAGGAAGCAGCACTCAATCAACAGACATTTAATTAGGAATGTGCATTTTGGGCTTACTATGAAAAGGATAGATAGCAAGCCCAAAATGAATGTTCCTGATTAAACAATTGTCTGTTGGTTGAGTGCGACTTCTTGAATGAAAGAATTGACAAATAGTTTTGAAAAAATAGAACATAAGATTTATTTTACTTGAAAATTTCCATCTTAAATGATTACTTTAAATACTTTCTACAAACAAATTACTTTTTCTTTCTCGTAAATCAGAACTTTAAACTGTTATTTAAGACCGATAATGATAACTGATAATGATTGTTTGTAATTAATCATATGTTGAGGCTGATAGCCAAAATAAGACAGCTTAAAAATGATTATTTACCAAGAAATAATGACAACTATAATCAAAATTATGATTACAATAAGCAAATTCTTTGGTACTTCAAAAGTATATAGAATTAACATATTCTATCATTAAAAAGTTATGCAATTTAGAAAACGATACATTTACAATATTAAATTAAAAAATAAAAAATTGACACTAAACACAACAAGAAAGAATGATTCTTATTTAGTTTACTATTTGAAAAACTTTAATAGAAGTGAATTTATTTATTGTGAACAAATTAGTTTTATTTAAATGATTTATTATTTTGATGTTAAACCATATTAAATTGGGCTACTTTTCATACGAAAAGTAACTCAATGTAATTCGGTGATTGTTTCACTCTAAATAGATGTTCGGTAAATCGTAAAATTTTTATTATTGCAGAATTTTTGTTGCTATTTAATCAATAGTCAAGTCATATGATGAATCATGATTCATCATATGACTTGACTATTGATTAAAAAGTCAGCATTCTTTTGTATCTCCATTTTATTGAATCTATAGTTAATTAGCATTATCTTATTTATTATAGATTTAAGTTTTAATTCTTTTAATGAAATTTTTATAAAGTTTTTCTCTTATAATTTTAGTGCATTTTTTTTATTTAATCAACCGATACATTTTAAAAATTCATTAGATAACTTCATGACATTTTTTTTTCTTTTTTCCTAACTTAAAACCTGCAGTTGGCTCAGTTCTATTTTTATTGAGAATAGTCTCCTTCATGTAATCTTAAGTGTGGCAGNATCTATTTCAGTCTTGTTAAATTGTAATTTTAGAATTAATAATAATTATTGTTTTAAAAGGGTTATTTAAAAGCACTCGGAATGGCTCGGACAGCAGAAGTAAAGAGAGATGCTCGAATCGGAGAAGCCGAAGCCCGTCGTGATGCCCAAATTAAGGTATGTTCAAAATGTATAAAATTTAAAAGCTACGTTTTGAGATATCTTTAAAGAAAATAATAATTTAATAACTTTTTTTTCTATGCAGGAAGCACTTGCAGAAGAAGAAAGAATGGCTGCTCGTTATCTAAATGATACAGAAATTGCAAAAGCCCAAAGAGATTTTGAATTAAAAAAGGCAGCTTATGATATGGAAGTGAATACTAAGGTAAGATTAAATTGTGTTTATCATTATTTATTTTTTTATAAAAACTTAGTTTTTCTTAATAGATGAAACATTATTTTTGGATTGAGGTTTTTAAATGAAAAATTAGAAAGGCAAAACAAAATGTGAAACGATGTTATTTGTATGTTTATATTATACGGTAATACCCCGAACTTACGTGATAGGTGGGACCAAGCGATAACCGTGTAAGTTGAATTCGCGTAAGTCAGGGTGTAATTTCGCAATTTGTGTAAAATCTGAGTCGGATGTATGTAAGCTAATAAATGTTCTCGTTAATCTTATCTCATCTTTTGATTCGTTCACAGTTACAAGAAATCACCACATAGAATCTCTGAAGTCTCCGTAGATATAACAAACACAGAAATAAATAACACAAAATAAATTGTAGCTATGCGTCGATTCCGCACAACACGTCCGTACATATAAGCTGAACAATAGTGTGGGGGAGTGAGTAATCAAGGGTTGCATTGCGCTCAAACAAAAGACGAATTGACGAGATTTGAAAATTGTGTAACTCCGGGTTTGCGTAAGTCAGGGTAGCGTAAGTCGAGGTATTACTGTATTAGATTCTTGTATATGTATATATGCATGATACATACATATGAATCATGCATACATTTAGAAATCTATGAGCATACAAAAATGATTACAAGATTTTTATTGGATTTTAATGCTAAATTTAAATTACTAAGCAATATTTAATCTTTATTTAACAGTGAACTGCAGTGCAATAGTTTATTTACTTGATGCTAATACATTTTAAGAGTAACAATACAGTTAAAACAAGTTGTACAGATATTTTAAGTTTTAAAATTCATACTGCAATTATTTTCAGATGAATTTTTGTATTTACTTGAAAACTTTATTAATACATGCTATTACGCTAAATTATGTGATAACAGACATATTGAAATATTTGTATGGACTGATAGATTGACCATTTTATATAACATTTATTAAATTTAATAAAAATTATTGCTTGAGATTATAAAATGTCAAAAGCTTAATTAAAAAGTATTGTGCATGATAGAGTAAAAAATAAACCAAACATTTAATAGTATTAGTCTCAGGTAACAAAATAATTTGTTTGGTTTTCTAAGATAACATTAAAACATTATGAAAATAAAACAAGGATATTTTATTCTAAAAAAATATGCATCATCACAATTAATTACTTTCTTCAATGAGAAATAAGTTTATAAATTACCTTATTATGAAATTCTTTAGAAGCTTAATCCTCATTTAACTATGTTTCTATTCCTCTTGATTTCAAAATTGTTGATTAAGTATTTGATTGTCAAGTAACAAGAAAAGATGAAATTCAGATGGTGAGAGGTGTTGTGAATATTGTGGGTGGAGTAGACTTTCTCAAGGAGAGCTGTGGAGCTTTTTCTGAATCGTTCTTGAAGTGTGAAATTTTCCATAATTTTGAGGAAACACACCTTTGCAATTAATCAGTTCCTGGTGTTTTTGGAAAAGCTTCTCATGCACACATTGCAGCTGATCAGAGTAAACTTCCCCTGTGATTGTTTGGTTTGAGGATAAGAGCTCATAATCCATTTTTCATCACATGCCAATAGTCTGTCCAAAAACACAGCTTGCTCTTACGATGAGAAAGAAGAGATAAGCAAATTGAAAATCACTAGAATTTGTTTTCTGTTATGAGTTTGTAGAACCCATTTGCTTCATTTGTATACTTTTTCCAGTCAATGCAAGTGCAGACAAATGGTTTCATTACTCATACCAAATCTTTTTGCAGCTGTCCACACGATTGACTTAACTTTAGCTCAGTAGCATTCTTTAATTCATTGTTATCAATGGCTGTTTGCCATCTTTCACAGGGTGCATCTTCAAGAGACATCTTCTGATGCAAATTTTTTATAGCATTTTTTGATCAGACATTGTGGTACATATTTTTCTGGAAACTTTTGTAACATTTGTTCAAAGTATAAATTCATAAAGCAAGCATGCTCAAATAACTGTATTTGAAGCTGACATTTTGACATCTGTTTTCACATTTATTATAATAATTACACAGTTAAAATTTTTTGAACAAATGTCTATGAAAGTCTAAATTAAAACCAGAAATAAAAATAGCCAGCCATCTACAAGGAATACTGCATAATTAATGTTCAAACTGATGACTATATAAAACTGCACAAACTTTTTTTATTACCCAATAATATGCCTTAGACAGAAGATACCTGTAAAAGACTACATTTCTACACTTATTAAAACAGTTTTGAAGTCCATTTGGCATTATCCTGAGTGCAATTTTCATAGCACTTACCTCTTGTACTGAAGCATTGTTATGATGATGATTTCAGCTGTTTGCTTGTAAGAGGTGAGGCAGTTTTCATCTTACTGTGTCACAGAAACAATGAAGAATATTAATAAGTTTACCATAGAAAATAAACTTGTAATATTAGTATATTAGTATATCATATCTTTGATATGAGAAAGGTGTTACAATAATTGTGCTTAAAGAGAAAATACAAAATTAACTGTATGGGTGTTTTAATAAGCATATGATGTTGGCAGATGTGTGTAATTGTAGAAGGTACTTATTTTGAAGACGGTCTTTATAACATTGTACTATTAATGTAGTAAAAGTTACATTAAAAGGTCTGTTTATTTTTGACTTTACTATGTATTAACTATATTTAAAAATACAAATTACTGTTCTATATATTATAGTTTCATATACTACTAATTATCTGTCATAATGTTGATGCAGTTTGATCTTTTTATATGTTAAGATTGAAATATTTATATAACTGATCATATTAATTTTTATAAAATTTAAATAAGTTAAATTTATTTTGGTTTTTAAATAAGTTAAATTTATTTTGGTGTAGCATATTGTATATTAAATTGGAAATAAAAACTTTTTCAAGAAAATAATTGAAATTATTATCTTTTGTTCAAAGTTAATTATAAAATTTTATTTAAAATGTGTTTAAATAAATTATTTCAGAAAGCCGAAAGTGATCTTGCTTATAATTTGCAAGCTGCTAAAACACGTCAGCGCATAAAAGAAGAACAAATGCAAGTAAAAGTTGTTGAAAGAACTCAAGAAATACAGATTCAAGAACAAGAAATTATGCGTAAAGAGAAAGAATTGGAGGCAACTATTCGCCGTCCTGCCGAAGCAGAAAAGTATCGTTTAGAGAAATTAGCCGAAGCTAATAGGTAAGAAGAAACAGAATAAAGTTGCATTTCAAAAACATTGAAATGATTTATTGACTATAGTTAATTTAAAACATTAAGAGTTGAGAATTTAATTAGATAATTTCTTATATTTTATATAAATTTTAATATTGAATATTTAGATTATCTCTGTCTCGAAAAACTGCTGAATGTTATATTTTTATAATTCGTTTTATACAGAAATAGAGTTATTATGGAGGCCGAAGCAGAATCTGAAGCTGTTAAAGTATGTAAAGGAATAATAAAAAAAAGTCTTTAGTGTAGTTTTGTAAAATATATTTTTATCTAATATTTGTTGTGCTAAAGTAAATTTAAATAAAAGTTTATGATGTTTTAGCTGAAAGGAGAAGCAGAAGCTTATGCAATAGAAGCTAAAGCCAAAGCAGAAGCCGAGCAAATGGCCAAGAAAGCCGATGCCTTCCGCGAATACAAAGATGCAGCCATGATTGATATGGTATTAGATACATTGCCAAAGGTAATCTATCAATTTAAAAATAAATTAGATAATTGCATTTTATACTATAATAAATCTTTCAAAATAGATATTATAGTTATTCTAATAAACAGTGCAGATGCAAGATGAAAAAGTAATATACAGTGCACTGTTTATTAGAACAAATAGAAGAAATAATTTTAATTTTTTTCAATATTTATGATTTAAATTATCATATTTTAATTTAGTTTATGCACTAAAAATTCATGATAGAGCCGATTATACAATTTAATTATTCATTTTTGAACAATTCGTACATCTATATTTAGTTATATTGAGTCAAAGTTTTAATTATTATTAATTATAATTTTATATTTGAATTTTTCGTGATATTTCCAAACTAAAAAATTAGTTTTTTTTTCTTTTATTCTTGATATAAAGTTACTTGAAACAAATGTGTTATAGTTATAATTCATATAGATGTAATTAACAGTAGAAAGTAATAACATTTTGAAATTAAAATTAAAGGTTGCTGCAGAGATAGCTGCTCCATTGACTCAGTGCAAGAAAGTAGTTATGGTCTCATCCGGTAAAGGTGATATTGGAGCAAGTAAATTAACTGGTGAAGTAATGGATATTATGACAAAAGTTCCACACATGGTCAGTCAGATGACAGGTGTTAACATTGTCAACGTAAGTTTATGAAAATCTCTTTATTATAGCTTTAATAATTGCATGAATAATGAACATTTTTCACAAAACAAATACACGAAACAGTTATTGAACTGAATCAAAAACTTAATACAGATTTTAAAACTTCCAGCTTTTAGATTAAATAAAAATGAATAGTAAAAATTGCAGAAAATGTATTCTCTTTTGCTTTTAAATAATTAAGTTAGATAAATTGTTTCTAACTAGAATTTGTTGTTTTATCTTTAATATTTCATTATTAAATATAAGTAGAATATAGAGTTTAAATATTTATTCACATACTGTAAGCTCTACTTATTGTAATTGCAGTTAATTAATGTTACCAAAATTAGCAGGTTCCAAAATATTTTAATATGTTATGCAAACTTCACTTATTTTACTCAGAACTTTGTTATTCTTATAATTATTTTCAGTTAAATAAGTCTTTTTGTGTGTTCTTTTCATAAAATCATCGTAAGTTACTGATATCGATCTTAACAATTGCTTTAAATTAACCATTTTATGCATTATTTGCTCACAATACAATAGTTTAAATAGCTGGCATTATATTAATTGTTGTTGAAGTTGGTAGAAGATAAATAATTTTGGATGTATTCATTAATTATTAATTGTTAAGACAATTTAAAAGATTTGATTAATTTATACACTTTTAATGTTAATCAATGAAAACCAGAATTTTCTCTCATCGTATTCTTATTTACCTTACATAATGCAGTTTAGACAAGTCTTAAAGTGATTACAATAAGTAGAGTTTACTGTATAATAGAAAATGGCGAGAGATAACAGTTTTGTAAAAAAATAATAAATTGAGAGACAAATAACAATTATTTTTACTAATGTCAATGTGTTTTGTTAAAGACAGAATTGAAAAACGAACAAAATGGAATTAATTTTTTGAATTTACAAAGCATAAATTTTTAAAATATGAATATTTCCTAATTTAGTTTATGCTAAAATTTCAGTATATTTCTAATTGAAGTCTAAATCTGTTAGTGAAATTTTTATAAAATGTATTTCTGTATTATTTTAAATATAAAGTTGTTCAGATACTAACAATGTACTGTATTTAAAATCCAATTTAGTGTTCTTCTTCAAAATAATTTTTTGTAGAAAAATTCAATATTTTCTCTGCAGTTTCTTTCAATCTTTCTATAGTTTTAAAACTATGTACGGATTAGAGCTGTCGTCTTAAGAAAAATGCTCTTGTTTCAATATTTGGATAATGAAATGATTCTTAATTTATTTAGAAAAGCAACACCCCATTACTTCTATTATCTTACTAATTCAGACTATATTTTTTGCATCAATTTCTTCTTTTTAAAATAATGAATTTGTCAATTCTAATCTGTCTTTAAAAATTATTTATTACCTTATTCTTAAACAGATGCATTGAGATGTGATTGAGGAACAGTTAGAAAAGGAATCATAAGCAAAAATTAGCTTCTTTTTTAAGCTCAAATTAGTAAATTTAGGCAATTAAAAGTATGATGATATTACTACTTCTTGGATTGTACAATATGCATTCGAGCAAGAACCTTGTTAATTTGGACTAGGCTTTCTCCAATTAGTCCAAATTAGCGAGGTTCTACTGTATGTAAACACTTATTTGAAATTTAGACTTAATTGTAATTATACTTCATTTGATAATTGTAATATTATGATATTATCAATTCCTGTATAATTTTCAATTTAATTATATATGTTGCTTAATTCTAATTATATTACAAATTAATTACTGGATAATCTAGAATACGTTATTAATACACAACCAGAAAACCAAAATTCAGTACATAAAAAGAACTTTAATGCAGAAATGAAAAAAACAAACGTTTTCTACCATTTTTCAAATCAAATCCTGTTTTATGTTAGCTATATAGATGATGTCCTCATCATGCAGCACAACAAGCCCAACCTACAAGATTTCCTCACCAAGTTCAACACAAACCCATGTGGCCTCCTCCTCCATCCAAAGCAACAAAAAGGCTATGAAGTGCACATCCTCAATCTATATTTATCACTTCTTAAGGGTCGTATCTCAACAAGAGTGTACGGGAAGCCATCGTAAAATCCACTCTTCATCGTAGTCCCCTCCCATAATCTATATAACTATTTGTAAAACTAAAAATCTTAAAAATCCAAGTGTATTCCACATGGATTTTTAAGATTTTTAGTTTTTCAAATGACAAGTGTATTACAACATTCATTAATATAAAAGTTACTTGAAACAAATGTGTTATAGTTATAATTCATATAGATGTAATTAACAGTAGAAAGTAATAACATTTTGAAATTAAAATTAAAGGTTGCTGCAGAGATAGCTGCTCCATTGACTCAGTGCAAGAAAGTAGTTATGGTCTCATCCGGTAAAGGTGATATTGGAGCAAGTAAATTAACTGGTGAAGTAATGGATATTATGACAAAAGTTCCACACATGGTCAGTCAGATGACAGGTGTTAACATTGTCAACGTAAGTTTATGAAAATCTCTTTATTATAGCTTTAATAATTGCATGAATAATGAACATTTTTCACAAAACAAATACACGAAACAGTTATTGAACTGAATCAAAAACTTAATACAGATTTTAAAACTTCCAGCTTTTAGATTAAATAAAAATGAATAGTAAAAATTGCAGAAAATGTATTCTCTTTTGCTTTTAAATAATTAAGTTAGATAAATTGTTTATAACTAGAATTTGTTGTTTTATCTTTAATATTTCATTATTAAATATAAGTAGAATATAGAGTTTAAATATTTATTCACATACTGTAAGCTCTACTTATTGTAATTGCAGTTAATTAATGTTANTTTAATTTGAAATTTTATGTATTTATAGATTTAATTTAATTATGTAATTTTTCAAAGGAAAAGAGCTAAGTTTTGCTTAAATATTATACTTTATGAACTGTATTTCTATTCAACTTCAATTTAAAGTTACATAAGTTAGCAGATTATTATTATAATAAAAACATATAAAAAACTCAATAACAAAAATGTGGTACTTGTTTTTATTTTTAAAACTCAGCTAACTCAACGTAGTTGCAGTCAGCTTACAATAAATCTGTCTTGAAAAAAGAATATAATTTGTAGAAATATATTTTTTTTCTAGGAATATTATTAACATGATGTAAAAGATTATACTGTAAATAATTTTTGAAATATTAATTGTTATTTATTTTAAATCTCAGTGTTAAAAAAAATTTCCAAATACAAAAATTAAATAATTAACAGTACAGCCCTTTCTTCCCAGCTGTGGGGATATGTTGTAAAAAAAAATGTCATGGTTTGTAAAAGTACAGTTAACAAAACAGATGCATTTTAATAAATATGGAGATAAGAGAAGGATAACAATGATACTGAATATATTGTATAATAAAAAAACATTTAATTTTACATTGAGTGACTGATTAATGTTTATAAATTGATCAGTAAGATTGTAAGACATCTACATTCCCTTGTTTTTTTTTTTGGCAGTGAGTGTTAGCCCTAGCAATTTAATTTAAACTTCAGAAATTACTGATTTTCATAATTTCTGAATTACGAAAGTGGTGTCATGCTAGGAAGAGCAATATATAAACTTTAATTGAACTTTCTATCTCATTGACAGTGGAAAATAATGTTTTCTACTGCTAACATTGAAACAGTACAAAACATTACTTTTTATTTTGCTATAAAATAGAATATAAATGATCATAAATTAAAATCTTAAATAATTTACAATAGCAATTGCATTATTCTGCATTATATGAAAACTACAGTTTTGAAAATTGTGATTGACAAGAAATGATGCTATATTATTGATAAATTAGAGAAATGAAATGAAATCATAAAACTGTATGTTATAGAAATTAAACTTTGGCTGGTAAATAACAATTCATCTTTAGCATTCTTGTTTTTGTCGTTAATTTCATCTTATTCTCAGTGCTTTTTATATATACAGGGTCTTCCAAAAAAAAGAATGCTAACATTTTAAATTATTGTAATTATGTTAATTATTATTTGAGAATGTTGTAATGTACATTAAAACATTGGAAGGTTTCACATTTGCCCATTACAATTTCTCAATTTGTGCACCTTGTGTCACACTGCACACATCCAACCAATACTCATATTTTTTCTACACTCACTATAGCATAACCATTGTCACTCATCTTATAGCAGCCACAATTCTACAGCTCCTACAGATTACTTGTGTGATGAATGATTCTGACTCTACAAACTTCAGAACACAGCACGCCTATTATATTGTGGAATTGCTATTTTCGTTTATGATATTTCCTAGAGTTATTAGAAAAGATGTTTAAATATAGATGGAGGATGAAACTTAAACAGTTACTCTATTCATTGATGTACTGTACATCACATACTTTTCAGATAATAATTAACATAATAACAATAAGTTATAATGGTAACATTTTTTTTGGATGACACTGTTTATATATAATCAGTTTAATATTAAGTATGTATATGGTCTTCATATGTTGATTATACATCAGCAGAAATTGTTTACTTTAAAAAAAAAAAGAAAATCTTCTATTCATTTTATATTAAAAAAACGAGATATTATTTATATTAATATAAAATCAAAGCAAAACAATTGCTAGAGTTTTGATAAGTTAATGAGAATATCTGTGTTACTACTCATCACAGGTATAAAATATGTGAAAGTGCATGAATAAGATTCAGGAGAAATTAAAACAGTCCTGCAGAAATTTGCAGTAGAAAATTAATATTACAGCAATAGCCACAAAAGTGTTACAATAAAATAGAGTAGCATCTCAGCTAAATCCATAGACATTAATTAGGAAAGTTTGTCAAAACGTAGGAAAACAGTATGCTTTTATAAATTAAATTGGAACTCTGTTTCTGATCAGTTTAGTCACTAGTTACATCACTTCCTACTTATACAGTTATGCAATTGCAGTAAGGAAGAGTCATTATACCCATACTGAAGCATGGTTTTGATTTTTACAAAGAACCAAAATGAAAATAAAGCTCTAAAAAGAACAGAAAAAGAAAATCCACTTCTATTTTGGAAGTCTTTTCATTACCATTTAATTAATGAGTGGAATTTTGTCTGAATTAAAATGAAATATTCACTCATTCTCTACAAGAAAAATGTTCAAATTAATAAACTGCATTTAAAAACTTATTCCAAATTATCTTGATTTATAAATTTATGGTTTCAGGTAAAAATTCAAGGACAAAATGTTGAAATGTTGAGAGCTGCTTGTGAGCAGTTTCTTGGAAAAAATGAAGACGAAATTATGAATGTGGCAAAAGAGACACTCGAAGGGCATCAACGAGCTATCATGGGACAAATGTCAGTTGAGGTGAGAAAAATAAATTTAAAATAAAATTGAAATATTTGCATGAATGTAAATAATAATTTTTGAAAATTAAATCAGGAAATATATAAAGACCGCAAAAAGTTTTCTAAACAAGTATTTGAAGTTGCCTCTTCTGATTTAGTTAATATGGGAATTACAGTAGTTTCATATACAATTAAAGATATAAGTGATGATCAAGTAAGTATTGACATTTTAAAAATATTTTATAAATTATAGAAATTACTAATTATGAGTTAAGAAAACAAAATATTTGTACCAGTACTGTCTTATTCATCGGCTCTTATTTTTTATTTGATGAATATACTAAGATTCTTGATCTGTGAGTAGAAAGATGATATAGCAAAGCTCATTGTTCCCCTCTCTCCTTAAATTGTACAGTAAATGTAATTAATGGATGGTCAGTATTGTTACATTATCACTTTGTATCCTAGTATGAGAAGAGAGATTCAATTCTAATGTTCTTTTATTTTATAACTTTAAAAAAATTTGAAAATTGATTAATATTCGTAAAGTCAGAAAATAAATACAATCTTATCAAATAATTTGTAATTTATGCTATAAATTTGAATCTATTTCAGTCTTGTTAAATTGTAATTTTAGAATTAATAATAATTATTGTTTTAAAAGGGTTATTTAAAAGCACTCGGAATGGCTCGGACAGCAGAAGTAAAGAGAGATGCTCGAATCGGAGAAGCCGAAGCCCGTCGTGATGCCCAAATTAAGGTATGTTCAAAATGTATAAAATTTAAAAGCTACGTTAAGACATATTAATCTTTAAAGAAAATAATAATTTAATAACTTTTTTTTCTATGCAGGAAGCACTTGCAGAAGAAGAAAGAATGGCTGCTCGTTATCTAAATGATACAGAAATTGCAAAAGCTCAAAGAGATTTTGAATTAAAAAAGGCAGCTTATGATATGGAAGTGAATACTAAGGTAAGATTGTGTTAATCATTATTTATTTTTTTATAAAAACTTAGTTTTTCTTAATAGATGAAACATTATTTTTGGATTGAGGTTTTTAAATGAAAAATTAGAAAGGCAAAACAAAATGTGAAACGATGTTATTTGTATGTTTATATTATACGGTAATACCCCGAACTTACGTGATAGGTGGGACCAAGCGATAACCGTGTAAGTTGAATTCGCGTAAGTCAGGGTGTAATTTCGCAATTTGTGTAAAATCTGAGTCGGATGTATGTAAGCTAATAAATGTTCTCGTTAATCTTATCTCATCTTTTGATTCGTTCACAGTTACAAGAAATCACCACATAGAATCTCTGAAGTCTCCGTAGATATAACAAACACAGAAATAAATAACACAAAATAAATTGTAGCTATGCGTCGATTCCGCACAACACGTCCGTACATATAAGCTGAACAATAGTGTGGGGGAGTGAGTAATCAAGGGTTGCATTGCGCTCAAACAAAAGACGAATTGACGAGATTTGAAAATTGTGTAACTCCGGGTTTGCGTAAGTCAGGGTAGCGTAAGTCGAGGTATTACTGTATTAGATTCTTGTATATGTATATATGCATGATACATACATATGAATCATGCATACATTTAGAAATCTATGAGCATACAAAAATGATTACAAGATTTTTATTGGATTTTAATGCTAAATTTAAATTACTAAGCAATATTTAATCTTTATTTAACAGTGAACTGCAGTGCAATAGTTTATTTACTTGATGCTAATACATTTTAAGAGTAACAATACAGTTAAAACAAGTTGTACAGATATTTTAAGTTTTAAAATTCATACTGCAATTATTTTCAGATGAATTTTTGTATTTACTTGAAAACTTTATTAATACATGCTAATACATTAATCTAAATTAAAGATGTAAATTGTATTTAATAGTAATTGTATTATTTTATGTTTTTTGTTGTTAAATCTTATTTTTATAAATTATTTGAGAACCATTTTATTGTCTTTTTATTATTTTATTTCTTATGTTTAAATGATGATATTGTCAATAAACAGTTAAAAAGTATTATGCATGGTAGAGTAAAAAATAAACCAAACATTTAATAGTATTAGTATCAGGTAACAAAATAATTTGTTTGGCTTTCTAAGATAACATTAAAACATCATGAAAATAAAACAAGGATATTTTATTCTAAAAAAATATGCATCATCACAATTAATTACTTTCTTCAATGAGAAATAAGTTTATAAACTACCTTATTATGAAATTCTTTAGAAGCTAAATCCTCATTTAACTATGTTTCTATTCCTCTTGATTTCAAAATTGGTGGTTAAGTATTTGATTGTCAAGTAATAAGAAAACATGAAAATCAGATGGTGAGAGGTCTGGTGAATATTGTGGGTGGAGTAGACTTTCTCAAGAAGAGCTATGGAGCTTTTTCTGAATCATTCTTGAAGTGTGAAATTTTCCATAATTTTGAGGAAACACACCTTTGCAATTAATCAGTTCCTGGTGTTTTTGGAAAAGCTTCTCATGCACACATTGCAGCTGATCAGAGTAAACTTCCCCTGTGATTGTTTGGTTTGAGGATAAGCGCTTGTAATAAAGAATACCTGTTATATATTCCATCAAACACACAACAAAATTTTCTGTTGATGAATTGCAGGTTTTGATATAGAAGACATAAGATTGCCAATGATAAAATTACTCAGTGTTGCAGTACATAATCCATTTTTCATTACATGCCAATAGTCTGTCCAAAAACACAGCTTGCTCTTAAGATGAGAAAGAAGAGATAAACAAATTGAAAATCACTAGAATTTGTTTTCTGCTATGACTTTGTAGAACCTATTTGCCTAATTTGTACATTTTTTCCAGTCAATGCAAGTGCAGACAAATGGTTTCATTATTCATACCAAGTCTTTTTGCAGCTGTCCACATGATTGACTTAACTTTAGCTCAGTAGCATTCTTTAATTCATTGTTATCAATGGCTTTTTGCCATCTTTCACAGGGTGCGTCTTCAAGAGACATCTGATGCAAATTTTTTATAGCATTTTTTGATCAGACATTGTGGTACATATCTTTCTGGAAACTTTTGTAACATTTGTTCAAAGTATAAATTCATAAAGCAAGCATGCTCAAATAACTGTATTTGAAGCTGACATTTTGACATCTGTTTTCACATTTATTATAATAATTACACAGTTAAAATTTTTTGAACAAATTTGTATGAAAGTCTAAATTAAAAACAGAAATAAAAATAGCCAGCCATCTACAAGGAATACTGCATAATTAATGTTCAAACTGATAACTATATAAAACTGCGCAAACTTTTTTTATTACCCAATAATATGCCTTAGACAGAAGATACCTGTAAAAGACTTTTCACAGTTATGTAAAAGGTACAGTTCTGCACTTATTAAAACAGTTTTGAAGTCCATTTGGCATTATCCTGAGTCAATTTTCATAGCACTTACCTCTTGTACTGAAGCACTGTTATGATGATGATTTCAGCTGTTTGCTTGTAAGAGGTGAGGCAGTTTTCATCTTACTGTGTCACAGAAACAACCATGATTATTAATAAGTTTACCATGGAAAATAAACTTGTAATATACTAGATCTTTAATATCAAAAAGGTGTTGCAATAATTATGCTCAAAGAGAAAATACAAAAATTGACTGTATGGGTGTTTTAATAAGCATATGAATGTTGGCAGATGTGTGTAATTGTCAGAGCTGTGGAGTTGGAGTCGTGGAGTTTTGGTGTTTTAGCCAGAGTCGGAGTTGTCAAAAAATCCGCCAACTCCAACTCCTATTTACTTACTTCGGCCCCTGGTTGGAGTCAGATGGTAAGGAAGAGTCGGAGTCGGTAGATTTTTACGCGACTCCACAGCCCTGGTAATTGTAGAAGGTACTTATTTTGAAGACGGTCTTTATAACATTGTACTATTAATGTAGTAAAAGTTACATTAAAAGGTCTGTTTATTTTTGACTTTACTATGTATTAACTATATTTAAAAATACAAATTACTGTTCTATATCTTATAGTTTCATATACTACTAATTATCTGTCATAAAGTTGATGCAGTTTGATCTTTTTATATGTTAAGATTGAAATATTTATATAACTGATCATATTAATTTTTATAAAATTTAAATAAGTTAAATTTATTTTGGTTTTTAAATAAGTTAAATTTATTTTGGTGTAGCATATTGTATATTAAATTGGAAATAAAAACTTTTTTAAGAAAATAATTGAAATTATTATCTTTTGTTCAAAGTTAATTATAAAATTTTATTTAAAATGTGTTTAAATAAATTATTTCAGAAAGCCGAAAGTGATCTTGCTTATAATTTGCAAGCTGCTAAAACACGTCAGCGCATAAAAGAAGAACAAATGCAAGTAAAAGTTGTTGAAAGAACTCAAGAAATACAGATTCAAGAACAAGAAATTATGCGTAAAGAGAAAGAATTGGAGGCAACTATTCGCCGTCCTGCCGAAGCAGAAAAGTATCGTTTAGAGAAATTAGCCGAAGCTAATAGGTAAGAAGAAACAGAATAAAGTTGCATTTCAAAAACATTGAAATGATTTATTGACTATAGTTAATTTAAAACATTAAGAGTTGAGAATTTAATTAGATAATTTCTTATATTTTATATAAATTTTAATATTGAATATTTAGATTATCTCTGTCTCGAAAAACTGCTGAATGTTATATTTTTATAATTCGTTTTATACAGAAATAGAGTTATTATGGAGGCCGAAGCAGAATCTGAAGCTGTTAAAGTATGTAAAGGAATAATAAAAAAAAGTCTTTAGTGTAGTTTTGTAAAATATATTTTTATCTAATATTTGTTGTGCTAAAGTAAATTTAAATAAAAGTTTATGATGTTTTAGCTGAAAGGAGAAGCAGAAGCTTATGCAATAGAAGCTAAAGCCAAAGCAGAAGCCGAGCAAATGGCCAAGAAAGCCGATGCCTTCCGCGAATACAAAGATGCAGCCATGATTGATATGGTATTAGATACATTGCCAAAGGTAATCTATCAATTTAAAAATAAATTAGATAATTGCATTTTATACTATAATAAATCTTTCAAAATAGATATTATAGTTATTCTAATAAACAGTGCAGATGCAAGATGAAAAAGTAATATACAGTGCACTGTTTATTAGAACAAATAGAAGAAATAATTTTAATTTTTTTCAATATTTATGATTTAAATTATCATATTTTAATTTAGTTTATGCACTAAAAATTCATGATAGAGCCGATTATACAATTTAATTATTCATTTTTGAACAATTCGTACATCTATATTTAGTTATATTGAGTCAAAGTTTTAATTATTATTAATTATAATTTTATATTTGAATTTTTCGTGATATTTCCAAACTAAAAAATTAGTTTTTTTTTCTTTTATTCTTGATATAAAGTTACTTGAAACAAATGTGTTATAGTTATAATTCATATAGATGTAATTAACAGTAGAAAGTAATAACATTTTGAAATTAAAATTAAAGGTTGCTGCAGAGATAGCTGCTCCATTGACTCAGTGCAAGAAAGTAGTTATGGTCTCATCCGGTAAAGGTGATATTGGAGCAAGTAAATTAACTGGTGAAGTAATGGATATTATGACAAAAGTTCCACACATGGTCAGTCAGATGACAGGTGTTAACATTGTCAACGTAAGTTTATGAAAATCTCTTTATTATAGCTTTAATAATTGCATGAATAATGAACATTTTTCACAAAACAAATACACGAAACAGTTATTGAACTGAATCAAAAACTTAATACAGATTTTAAAACTTCCAGCTTTTAGATTAAATAAAAATGAATAGTAAAAATTGCAGAAAATGTATTCTCTTTTGCTTTTAAATAATTAAGTTAGATAAATTGTTTCTAACTAGAATTTGTTGTTTTATCTTTAATATTTCATTATTAAATATAAGTAGAATATAGAGTTTAAATATTTATTCACATACTGTAAGCTCTACTTATTGTAATTGCAGTTAATTAATGTTACCAAAATTAGCAGGTTCCAAAACATTTTAATATGTTATGCAAACTTCACTTATTTTACTCAGAACTTTGTTATTCTTATAATTATTTTCAGTTAAATAAGTCTTTTTGTGTGTTCTTTTCATAAAATTATCGTAAGTTACTGATATTGATCTTAACAATTGCTTTAAATTAACCATTTTATGCATTATTTGCTCACAATACAATAGTTTAAATAGCTGGCATTATATTAATTGTTGTTGAAGTTGGTAGAAGATAAATAATTTTGGATGTATTTATTAATTATTAATTGTTAAGACAATTTAAAAGATTTGATTAATTTATACACTTTTAATGTTAATCAATGAAACCAGAATTTTCTCTCATCGTATTCTTATTTACCTTACATAATGCAGTTTAGACAAGTCTTAAAGTGATTACAATAAGTAGAGTTTACTGTATAATAGAAAATGGCGAGAGATAACAGTTTTGTAAAAAAATAATAAATTGAGAGACAAATAACAATTATTTTTACTAATGTCAATGTGTTTTGTTAAAGACAGAATTGAAAAACGAACAAAATGGAATTAATTTTTTGAATTTACAAAGCATAAATTTTTAAAATATGAATATTTCCTAATTTAGTTTATGCTAAAATTTCAGTATATTTCTAATTGAAGTCTAAATCTGTTAGTGAAATTTTTATAAAATGTATTTCTGTATTATTTTAAATATAAAGTTGTTCAGATACTAACAATGTACTGTATTTAAAATCCAATTTAGTGTTCTTCTTCAAAATAATTTTTTGTAGAAAAATTCAATATTTTCTCTGCAGTTTCTTTCAATCTTTCTATAGTTTTAAAACTAGGTACGGATTAGAGCTGTCGTCTTAAGAAAAATGCTCTTGTTTCAATATTTGGATAATGAAATGATTCTTAATTTATTTAGAAAAGCAACACCCCATTACTTCTATTATCTTACTAATTCAGACTATATTTTTGCATCAATCTCTTCTTTTTAAAATAATGAATTTGTCAATTCTAATCTGTCTTTAAAAATTATTTATTACCTTACTCTTAAACAGATGCATTGAGATGTGATTGAGGAACAGTTAGAAAAGGAATCATAAGCAAAAATTAGCTTCTTTTTTAAGCTCAAATTAGTAAATTTAGGCAATTAAAAGTATGATGATATTACTACTTCTTGGATTGTACAATATGCATTCGAGCAAGAACCTTGTTAATTTGGACTAGGCTTTCTCCAATTAGTCCAAATTAGCGAGGTTCTACTGTATGTAAACACTTATTTGAAATTTAGACTTAATTGTAATTATACTTCATTTGATAATTGTAATATTATGATATTATCAATTCCTGTATAATTTTCAATTTAATTATATATGTTGCTTAATTCTAATTATATTACAAATTAATTACTGGATAATCTAGAATACGTTATTAATACACAACCAGAAAACTAAAATTCAGTACATAAAAAGAACTTTAATGCAGAAATGAAAAAAACAAACGTTTTCTACCATTTTTCAAATCAAATCCTGTTTTATGTTAGCTATATAGATGATGTCCTCATCATGCAGCACAACAAGCCCAACCTACAAGATTTCCTCACCAAGTTCAACACAAACCCATGTGGCCTCCTCCTCCATCCAAAGCAACAAAAAGGCTATGAAGTGCACATCCTCAATCTATATTTATCACTTCTTAAGGGTCGTATCTCAACAAGAGTGTACGGGAAGCCATCGTAAAATCCACTCTTCATCGTAGTCCCCTCCCATAATCTATATAACTATTTGTAAAACTAAAAATCTTAAAAATCCAAGTGTATTCCACATGGATTTTTAAGATTTTTAGTTTTTCAAATGACAAGTGTATTACAACATTCATTAATATAAAACATGGAATTCAGAAATAAACTTTTTAAAATTGATTATTAATTAGTTGATGAATTAATTTAAGACATTTTTTTAGTGTTTAAGCTAGATTATATTTTAAAAAAATTTATATTAAATTTTAAATTTATCAAATAAAATATTAACAAAACATTTAAAATATTTTTACAGTCGCTGAAAATAGCGCAAGCCACCATGTAAAATCTGACGAGGATTTATTTGAATTAATCTTTTGCAAGTTTTTTCTACGTTGTATTGTTAATAAAAGTAAAGGTCAAAGTATTTGCTGCCAATTTGCAATTTGCTATATGTCTAGTCTTCAAATGAATGATCAATATTTATATATAAAACATATATATTATATTTACAGTATATATATATAATATATATTTCATATTTCTTATTTATCATTTAAAAACTGTGCCTTGCTTTCTTCACATATTTCTCAACATTACATTTGTGAATTTTCATGTACTTTGTGCATTAATTTCTCGGAATTCATTCGACTTTTATATTAATACGATGATGAAACTTAGCATTTGGTAGTTATTTTATATTGAAACTTTGTGTATTTTATGTAAAGAGCTTTGATGATTTTCTTTTTTTATTTCGTTAACTATCAATATTATAGTCATTATTCTGAAAGATTGAATTTCATTCATTGTAATCATTTTTTATTCTTGATGCACGTTTGGAAAGTTGATGATTTTAGAAAGAATCTTGACAGTATTTAATATTGGAGGTTCTTAAGAAGAGAAGACAGTATATTTTATGATTCATCTCCTTTTGAAAAGTACAAACTTTAAACATGTGACCAAAATTTAAATATTTTAGACCAAATAAGCATACATTATATATATATTACTTCATTCAGAAAATATTGAGCCAGTAAAATAGCATCAAATATATATATATAAATCATTTATAATGTAAAAAATTTAATATTTTTTGTTTGTTATTATTATCAGTTAACAAATATTTGTTTCACCTCCCAAACATTTAATGTGAATCTATTCAAATAAAAAATATTTAAAAAGTGTATTTTTTTTTAATTTAATTTACTCAGGGTTTCAAAGTATCTTTTTAATTTTAATTTATATTCTGTAGATAATATAAATATTCAGTTTTTATAAGAAACATGTTTTTTGTATTTTTTTAATATAGCAGTTGCAATGTATAATACATATATATAGATTTACCAAGTCCAAAACTGTCTGTAGTAATTTAAATATATATGTACTTTAATACTGTAAAGTAGCTTCAAATAGTCATTTATGCACTATAGATCGATAATTATGCAGTAATATTTATTAAAGGCACTAGATAGAGGATCCAAAATCCATTTCTTCCTCTCGACACGATGGAACTAACCTCTCTTCTTCCTCGTAATTTTTAATTTAATTAGACGAACTCTGCGAGATTAAGTGTGAACGCGATAGGAATAAAACTGTTTGCCTGTAGAATCTGTTTTGAAAATTTAGTCTTATATAAAATCAGAGTTTTAATTTCCTATCTAAATTGGAACGCATCGTTGATGTTATGCAAGCTGTATGCGACTAACAAGTGTTACTGTGCAAAGACTATATTGCCTTAAAAAAAAAAAAAAGAATTATAGCATATATTATAGCGTTTATAAGATACTATAATGAAAGCAATTGATTCCATTTTCCTCTTGTGGAGTTTATTTTGTATTCAAAATTTAAAATCTAATGATTTTTTAATAAACATTTTTAATATTGTCATAGTATTGTGGAATTTGTATTATTGTACAATTGAAATTAATTATAAATTGTGAATTTATATTGCAGTTTTCAATCTGACATTTCATAAAGTAACAATGATTAATATATTAAACATTTTTAATTGTTTGTTTTTCTTTCATTTCTAAAAAATTAAATGAAGATTTATGTAATTAAAAAACAAAAATACAATTTTTGTATTTTTTTTTAAATATCAATTTTGAAATATTTATTGAAATTTAATGAATATCCTATCAAAAGACAATATTAAACCTTAATAAAGTACTGTAGCAGAGATAACTAATCTTGAATTTCCAATAAGCAATTGATAAATAATCCCAAGTTTCTTGTTTTTTGTATTTAATCTTTTAATTACAAATAGCTTCAACCCAATGATCTTCAATACGTGTCATATATCCGATACATTTTGAATTTCTAAGCTGTTTCCATCCCATGGGCATTAAGAGAGACTTTTTTCCATATGCATCATGGGTTTGGCAAAGCCCACAACAATGGTGACCAGATGGCGAGGGACATATCCGGGACTTACCACCCGTGCACAATTTCAGAGGTGGCCCGCCCAGATTCGATCCTGGGTTCCCCGGAGTGGCAGGGTGACACCTTAACCACCTCGCCCATCTGGCAATCAAATTTTGAGTTACCATAACCATGACGTACGTTACAGTTATCGGAAACTCGAGATTAGTTTTCCCGTTGCCTTGTTAAAATAATTTACGAAATCACCGGCATTCGTAACCTTTCTAATTTTTATTATTATGCTATTTTCTTATTATTATGTATGACTTAGAACTTTAAAAAAAGTATCAAATAAGTATTATTAAAAGTATTAATTATTAAAGGTTTTATAAAGTTCAAAATTTTAATCTTTTATTTAAAGAATGTAGTTTAAAATTTATTATGTGAATAAATAATTATGATTTTAATTCCGACTTGGTGTTATTGAAATGATCTACATCACAATATCAAAACGTCAGATTTATATTAATATATACTGTATACAAACAATTGGAATGAAATGTTTTTAATAGAAATCAATAAATATTTGTATTAGTATTATTTTAATTGAATTTTAATAGTTACTATAATAAGATTGACGAATTTAAAAAGTTTTAAACTTGAATCATTATCTTCCTCCATCAGTAAGCATTTTGAAAAATAATTTGAAATGAGTAATTTACAGTACTATATAACCATGTGGATGAACTGCAGCTCGCAAGGCACAGATGGCTCTTCGAGACTCCGAGGCTTCCATATACTATAGTATTTTAACTATATAGCATACATAACTGTTCTAATAGAAGGTGCAGCTCTTGCATATTTCTAACAGGCATTATATGGCTCCTATCATAACAAGGTTTGGCCACCCCTGGTATATAAAGTGAGATGATATTGATATAGATATATTTAAATATAGAAAAATTAATATGAAAATAAGCAGTCTGAAATATGAATATCTGACACAAGTGATGTTACAGTCTATTGATGCAGTTGCGGCAGTTGTTTTATATGTAAAACTGAGTATGAATTAAAGTAAAATATCTTAGAAAGTAACTATTTACATTTAATAAATTCTATTGAATTTGTGTATTGGGAAGATTATTCCAAAAAGAAAATGTCAAATTCTTTAATTCTTTTCAGGAATTTCTGTTCACTCTGCACTGAGCATTGAGTACAAAAGCCCTCATTAATTTTGAAATACTGTATAAAAACTATATTTTGTTTTAAATAATCAGTTTGAGTCTTTCGAAACGGTCAGCATCAGCCTACAACTCTAAGGACCCGAATTGAATTTGGGCAAGGCATCCCTGGGAACTTTTTGGGGGAAATCCGACCCGGATAAGTCAGACTTTGTCCTTGACCGCCCAATAGTTCCATTGCAGATTGGCCAAACGTCTAACGGGCACAGAAGAAAGGCGCTCTTAGCATCAACAAGGCAGAGAGTTAAAAATGTGGAGGTTTTAATAGCATAATTTCTAATTGAATTGCATTAATCATCCATAATTTATTACAGTATATTAGAATTATTTATAATAATAGAAAGATTTATGAAAATGAATATATTACTTGCATAAATTGATTTTTGTTTATGGAGGTTCAGAACATTTGATTATTGATGTATTTGTATAAATGCAAATGGTTTAAAATTTAAAAAATAATCTATTGTAGATAAATTTCTTATAAAAAGTTAGTAATCTAATTTAAAAAAATATATAACAGCAGTAGACAGTATAAAAATGAATGGAAGATATATTTATTACTGAAATCATAATGAACTGTATTTATGCACTCAAATAATTCATAGTTTCTTGAATATGCTCATGAATAATAGATAATATTTGGGATTTATTCTGTTCTTGATTACAACTGTCAGAAGTAAATTATTCTATAGAAAGTAATTCTCTGAAGTGACTTTTATGCAATTAACCTTGATAGAATATTCAAAAATTTAAGTGATGTTGCAATAATTATAATACATATAATATTTACAATGAATTCTTCAATATAATGGAATTTAACAGATTGGCAAACCACTAATTCTTATTTTATATTTACTTATGGTAGCATTAACTTTCTGCAAAGAATGACATTGCATAGGATTTCCTGAAAAAACAAAATAGATAATTAATTCCTCAACAATTTCTCAATTATATTAATCTTTTAAAGAATTTTTTTTTATCTAGAAATACTTTTCTAAACTACTTTAAAAATCCATTGTTTCAATATACAGTATTTAAGCTGTACTTAATTTAATTACATGTAAATAAAACACCAAATTTGCATGCTACTGAATTATTTAACTACACTAAAACATTATTTTTAAGTTTATCTTATTGAATTTCTAATTTTGCATACCTGATATAAATAACCTTCTTACAGTAACATGATTTTTACATGGGATAATAGGATCTATATCATTATCATCGCCATCATCATCATCATCATAATAAATATCCGTTTCAATTAGCCAGTCTAAGTCAGTCAGGTAGTTTTTAGATAGGTCCAGATATCCTAATTGGTTGGGGCAACGAATACTGCTTCCCAATATATAGAGTTTATTAGCAGACAAGATTAAAGTTTCCAATTTTCTGGTATACTTGAAAGTATCTCCAACGCTTTCTAATTGGTTATGTGACAAATCCAAACTTTCCAAATTAAGCAAATTGATAAATTCTTTCCCGTATAACTTGCGTATAAAATTGAATGAAAGGTTGAGACTTCTCAAATTAAACAAACTATGAAGACCATTCTTCAATTTGCGGATGAGATTATGTTCTAGATGCAAATATTTCAATTTCTTCAAATTTTTCAAAGAGTCTCCTAGATCTTTTATATTGTTATTGGAAGCTGCTAACATTTCTAAAGATTTCATACCCGTTAACTCACCGGATAAGCTGGTTAACCAGTTACTAGAGACGAATAGCCATGCCACGTCTTTCAAGTGCAACATAGATTCGTTCAGGGTCTTCAGATGGTTGTGGGTAACGCTCAGTGTTTTTAAAACTGGAGGAAAGGTATCTTTAGGAAGGGACGATATCTTGTTCGATGCCAAACTCAAATGATGCAATGGAAGAGATTGTAGAGAAGGAACGTTTCGTATTTCGTTGCCAGCAAGACTCAAAACTCTTAAACTATTCAGATTTTTGAATGCATTGATCGGAACTTTGCTCAGTTTACCATCCATGAGGAGGAGAAGGACGAGGCATTCTTTTAGTTCTTCGAAGGTCGATTCATTAATTCTTTTCAATTCGGAAAGTTGTAAAATAAGTCTCTTAACGCAGATCCCCTTAAACATTTCGGGTTGTAATTCTTCCACTTCGTCATCCTCCACTGTTATCTCACTAATAGAGTCGTGAAATCTTATTTCTCTATTGACTGCTTCACAATGAACTTTTAAATAAATCCTTTCGTTCTGGCACCAACATGGCCCCTCGATTTCCGAACAATTTGTAATGGGTAACGACGACGTGCATCGTAACACGCTCAGCAGCAGCACCGCACAACCGACTAAAAGCATTGTTAACAATTGTATAATGTTGGTTGGCTTTATCTCCTCCCTTTTAAAGAACAGTCGCGAATTTTCATTGGTTAGTAAATTAAATAAAGGTAATTTGATAAGCTCACTTCTAATAATTCCTCTTATTAGATTTTTAATGAATATTTTTTAAACTACTTATCTTAATTAACGTTGAAAGGTTATTAAATATCATTAAAAAATAGTTTTTTTTATAACATAAAAAATTCGCTGTGAGTGAAGTAATTCCTTAAGCCAAAAAAATCCCCCTAAATTTTATAAAAATTGGGGGATAATTAGTAGAATTATATACGAATCTTTGAAGAAAAGTGAACCCACTTAACACGCATCGAACACGTGAATGATTATATTCACATGTTCAAGGAGGGTATTTATTAGGATATAAAATTTCATACTAATCATTAATTTTTTAAATTATAATTACTGTTAAAAGCTACTTAAGAAACACGTGGTTTGCACGACTCTATCACGTGTATCTCATTAATGATACTTTAAACAAAAAAAAAAAAAAAAAAGCAGAGGAAAGCTAAGAATAGGAAAAGTGATACGGTTTTTCGAAGCGTATATTTAAATAATTTACGACATTGCCTCCTTATAAACGAACCATAATAGGAAAATTACAAAATATGGAGGTTCTTTTATTCTCCTCAATGAATGCTCTTGTAGTTTAATAGATCTTTTATATTCTTTCAAGGTTAAATAATTGAATAAGTTAAAGATAATTCACAAAATATCTAGTTGTACATTGGTTGGTTTCAAGTTTAAAACACCTTAAAAAAAAATACATTGTTATTGTAATAGTCGAAAGGAAATTGTTTTAAAAAGTGTTGAGTTGAAGCAGAATAGTTTATCGACATTTGTATAATTGTCTAGTTATAAATATTTGTTTTAAAGAGGGAGATAAATCACTAATATAACGCTCTATCTGTTACTTGTTTTATACGTCGTGGATTACTTTACTGATATCTTATTTATTATATTCAAGTTAAAAGTTGATGGGTAAACTGATTTAATGTCGCTGATCATTTGGGTATTCTCGTAAATAATGGAGACGAACTTTTAAAACGATCCGCGACATTAAAACAGCAAAAAGTTAAGTACATTGTACTTTAGATTACGCGTATTACGTTGAATGTGTCTCGCAACATTGCGTAAGACGATAAGCCGTATTTAAAAATCAATGTTCATAAAGTGCTTCCCAACGCCTCATTTAACTTCCATTATATACCGAACAACGAGTTATTTATTCGTCTCATTGTCCCACTTCTCACGTCCTTCAAATTTAAATATCTACTGTATAACATTGTATAGAAGATATATCCAATATTATAAATTTAACACATACAATTCGAATTAAATATATATATATATATAATAATTTCAATAATTATATTTCGGTAGTAGTAAATCCTATTGTATAAGTCGTAATGACGATATCTAAGTCCTTCAACTTTGTTAAGGTTAAATAAGTTATGAGGAAGTAAACGTAAGAGGAAGATGAAATTTCTCTCTTTACTCTTTTTATATAAATATCATTTAAAGAGGTGGATGAATGAACAGAATCTATACGATGTTATTATTTATATAGAAAGGTTATAAAAATATTAAATAACCAAATGAAATATTATTATTCGTTACGGGAAGAGCGAACACAATGATCAAATGTCGAGGTTAAATGTTGCATTTGTGGTCGACCTCCGTACGCTTTTTATGGTAATAATGACACAATTAATATTAGATCACTCTCATTCATAGGAAATAAAAAGGGAAGGACAAAAAAATAAATATTTTAATAAGAAAGAAATACTTTCTCTTCCTAGAGGTCAGAGGGTATGAATTTCACGGCTGTCAGTGCGAATCAGTATGAACTATTCGTCAGACAAAATAAAGAGACTATCTACTTGGTCGTCTGGAAGCTAATCTATACAGACAGGCAGACACAGGAAAAGAATCAAGTTGTATTTCTAATAGAAATAAGAGGAAAAAATATTGGAAAATAATTTAATGAGATTTCTACTGCTGAATATCCTCAACTAATTTGTTAATTCTTGGTTCAATTGTTTGTACAGTCGACCCCCCCCTATAACACTGCTGATTTTTCCATTTTATATGAATTCCATGTTGTATGAGTCACTTAGATTTTACAAATACATGAACTGTTCACAGCCCGGCACACGTATTTGTAAAATCTAAGTGACTCGTACAACACGATTTTAATTAATATAAGATGGCAAAATTAACTTTTTTTGCCATTTTATATTAATTAAAAACATAAAAACTTATTTTAAATAAAATCTCGTAACAGATGGCTCCACACGCAATTTTAACTTTATTTCCCGGAAACTTACGCAACTTGTTGGATTTTTCGATGTTTTACGTATTGCGATAATGAAAATATAAGAAAGATTTGATGTATAATGAAGGGATTATTCTATAAATTAACACCGTTCTATGAATTGTCTGTACACTTCATTGACCTTTCACCCCGTTGATTCATCGAATCCGACATTCAAAGAACTTGCCGGACACGTGTGCAATCGAGACTTAATTTCTTTCCTGAATTCTAAATAAAGATTGTGTAAATATTAGTAGATAATTCCTTCTTGAATATTCTAGGAAATAACAGGAATATTGCCGTTCTTACACTGTACATCAATCATTGATTGAGAACTTTATCAATGATGATAAGGGAAAGTAGGGTAATGGAACCCACCTGTTTTTTGGCTAAACGATTCCGAATTTTCAACCCCAATAGATACATTTAGCAACTTCAGAGCCAACTTCGAATTCTGAATATGGTGCACATGCTTGATTGTGTGAGGAAAAAACAGTTTTGTACATCTTTCTTCTAATGGAACACTATCATTTGTTGGACTGTATGTACAGTACAGTACCATTGTATATAACTTAGCATTAATATATATTATTGAAACAATATCTATTCCTCCAACTATTAAAATACATACGAAGAAAATATTTCATTTATCCTGTTAAGTTCAGTGTAACATGTGTGAGACATGTGTCAGGTGTGTGGATGTCGGCAGGTGGTGATGGACAGTCCACAGCTTGGTCACACATGTCGGGTGGGTGAGGTGACGGTGTCCCCTGGAGTGTGGGGGAGATTGTCCCGCTTAGTTAGGGTGTGTAGAGTTAGAGAGAGTGTGTGTACTGACCAGGGAGCTAACCGGAGTGAGTAGCTGTGTGGCTGGTCCAGTATTGTAACTATCAAAAAATGGTGGAGTGCCAGAGAGTCACTCGCATTTTGGAGAAATTAAAGTGCTTTTATTTTTTGTGTTGTTATTGTTAAAAAGAAGCGTGTACTGTGTTCGTTTTGACTGTCTATCCGAAAACATTCTACACCACCACCATCATCACAACATTTGTATACAACATATCCCTTTGTGTGTAGTCAAGGTTAAAAACAAAATGGCGTGAAGGGTTAAGGTGTTTAGATACAACCATCGTCTTACAAACAAATTGCGAGAACTAATAAAAGCAAAACCGCCTATAAAAGCAAACCTTCGATATACACCATATTAATTTAAGGAACACCAAGGATCCTGTTGACAAGAAACAGTTACCTGGGGTTCACATCATTCCCATTACAGACAATAAGTTCTACCAACAGTGGGTATACATAGGAGCCATCCACGTAAAATTGTTTTTTAAAGAGAAATGTGAAAACTAATCTGCGGATAGAGTAGAGGTATATACTTTAATTTTTCAGACCATACCATATACAAGCCGTTAGGTCTTCAATAAAAAGCGTGTTAATCACGTTCTACAAACATGTTGTAAGTAAAGTGTTTGCACATTGAGCATAGAGCGGGCCATCTGAAAAACGGAGATTACAGTACTTTCTTTGTACAATTGGATAATTTGCCTGGCTGTTAGAAGTTCTCCTGGCTTTTAATATTCTTCGAAACCCGAGCACAGCAAATGGTTATATAATTATTGACTTTTTTTTACGTTTTTCAAGGCCGGATGGCCGAGGATTAAAAAGACAGCATAGCCCTATGGAGGAACTGAAATCGAATCTGGACGAGTCGAAAAACCTCAGCAAATATTTCACATCCTATTGACGTAGTTGTAAAATAAAGGTCCTCTTACTGCCCACAGGGTGGAAACAGTTTTTAAAAAAATCATGTTTATTAAAATTAAATATACTCTATATATATTGTATATATACTTTTTTAAAATTATATTCTGCGGATTTTGTAGCAATTAATCGAATGGCCTAAGCGTGCATAACGAACAAACAAACAAACAAACATCCTCATTTATTTCATTACTTAATAGTAGACTTATTGTACAGTACATTAAATATATTGGAATGCCCTAGAAAAGCTGTACCAGGCTCAATGATACATATTCAAAAACAGTTTTTAAATTAAAAAAAAAAACAGAACTATTAAACAGTGTTTAGATTTAATCCTTATTAAATCCTTAATTTACACAATTTTAATACAGCCTCTTAAGAATTTTGTATATATAGTTCGATTTATGCTCACCAGAGGTCGATATAGTAGAAAGTACTGTCTGAGTAAACAGTTGATCTGTCCATTAATAAACAGCGCATGTCTGCAGACTAGTGTGACGTAAACCGGTTTACTCGCTTAAAGAATCTGGTTAATGTTCAGGGTCGTAGACTGTCATGGCGGCTCTTACTGTTTTAGCCTCGAAACCGGACCGCTTTGGAGACGACGTGTCACGTGACGACGCGAGCGAACGGCTGCGCCGCGATAAACGGGGAAAATCGACGCGCAAGTTAACGTCCATATACGTAGACTCATGGCGGAAACAGTGAAGACGCACGTTCTAACCTAACCTAACCTATTCTAATAATATAATTGGTAATAATTATGATAATTTATCAGAATAGGTTAGGTTAGGTTAGAACGTGCGTCCCCACTGTTTCCTTTTCTTTTTGCGGAATCAGAGATGAGCCGCCATGAGTCTACGTATATAGACGTTAACCCGCGCGTCGGTTTTCCCCGTTTATCGCGACGCAGCAGCCGCCGCC